ATATACGTCAAAGTAATATAATGTCAAAGAAGAAGTTAAAAGGGAAATTAGGAAGTATTTTGAACAGAATAAAACTTGTAACACCAGAACTTGCTGGATGCTGTTAAAGCAGTGCTTAGGGGTAAATTTTTAACAAGAATCACCTCTAATTTTAGAAAAGAAAGGTCTCAAATCAATGAGCCCAGCATTCACCTAAAGAAATGGAAAGAACACAGGAAGCACAGGGTAAACAGAGGAAAGGAAACATTACAGATCAAGGTATAAATCAATAATGTAGAAAATATAAAAAGATGAAAAAAAAAATCAATGAAACCAAAAACTGGTTCTTTGAAAAGATCAATAAGACTGATAAACCATCTAGCTAGACTGATCAAGGGAAAAAAAAAAAAAAGAACACAAATGATCAATATCAGGTATGAGAGAAGTGACATCACCACAGATTCTACAGACACTAAGAGGCTAATAAGGGACTACTGTATTTATATTATCCAATATGATAATTTCTGCCACTTAATTGGGGTTTTCAGACTATTTAGTTTTATTTATTTATTTTTTAAAGATTTTATTTTTAAGTAATTTCTATGCCCAAAGTAGGGCTCGAATTTACAACCCTGAGATCAAGAGTCACACGTTCGGGGCACCTGGGTGGCTCAGTTGTTAAGCGTCTGCCTTCGGCTCAGGTCATGATCCCAGGGTCCTGGGATCGAGCCCCGCATGGGGCTCCAGCCCCGCATCAGGCTCCCTGCTCAGCAGGAAGCCTGTTTCTCCCTCTCCCACTCCCCCTGCTTGTGTTCCTTCTTTCTCTGTGTCTCTCTCTGTCAAATAAATAAATAAAATCTTAAAAAAAAAAAAAAAGTCACACATTCTACCAACTGAGCCAGCCAGGCACCCCTAGACTGTTTACTTTTATGCCAGCCAATAAATCCAACAACTTAAGTGACATGGTTGAATTCCTTAAAACACAATCTACTATAGCTCACTTAAAAAGAAATAGATTATCTGGATAACCCTATGTATATCTGTTAAGGCAAATGCACTGTAGTTTAAAACCTTTCTAAAAAAACATATCAGCCCCAGATGGCTTCACTGGTAAACTCTACTAAACATTTTAAGTAAGAAGTAATAATTCTACATAAATTATTTTCGAAAATTTAAGAGGGAACACTTTCTAAATCATTCTGTGAGGCCAGGGTTACTATAACACCAAAATTAGACAAGGGTGTAAGAAAATTACAGACCAATATTCTTCATAATACAGATGTAAAAATTTCAAACAAAATCAAATCAAGGGGCGCCTGGGTGGCTCAGTTGGTTAAGCGACTGCCTTCGGCTCAGGTCATGATCCTGGAGTCCCGGGATCGAGTCCCGCATCGGGCTCCCTGCTCAGCAGGGAGTCTGCTTCTCCCTCTGACTCTCTTCCCTCTCGCGCTCTCTCTCATTCTCTCTCTCTCAAATAAATAAATAAAATCTTAAAAAAAAAAACCAAATCAAATCAAACTGGATTGTTAAATCAAGAGAATTCAGAAATCCAACAATATATAAAAAGTACAAAAAGATCATGATGATACAACTTACCGCAAAAACCAAATTGGTTTAGCATTCAAAAATCACTGAATGCAACGCACCATTATTAACCAATAAAAAAAGAAAAACCGTATGATCATCAGTAGACACAGAAAAAACATTTGACAAAATTCACCACCTATTCCTGATAAAAACCCTCAGCAAAGTAGGAATTGAAAATAAACTTCATACTGATAAAAAGAATCTATGAAAAACCCACAGCTAACAAAATACTTAATGGAAAAAGACAATGTTATCTCCCTAAAATCAGGAAAAAGACAAAAATCACCAATAAAGCTAAATATTTTTTGCTATGTATTGGCCATTTGTTTTCTCCACAGTGAACACTCTCTTCTTATCAAATGCCTGATGTCTGTTTTCCTACTGAGTATTTTTCCTTGGAAAAAAAATTTTCAATAGCAATAATAAAAAGTAATTTTCTCTTGTAAAAAATTCAGTAAATATTACAGATATTAATCTTTTGTCAGTCCCATCTTTTTTTTTTTTTAAGTAAATTCTACCCCCAGCATGGGGCTCAAACTCACCACCCGAAGGATCCAGTCACACGCTCTACTGACTGAGTCAGCCAGGAGCCCCTGTCAGTCCTATCTTTTGTAACTATTTTATCCTAGTTTAAGTTCACATACCTTTCTATTTTTACCATGCAAAATTTTTTTATTTCAATGTAATCAAATATTCATTGTGAATTACCCCAATCCATATGCAGCCCCATTCTCTTTATTATTTTTGATGGTTTAATTTTCTAATTTTTATTTATTTATTTATTTGAGAGAGAGACAGAGGACAAGCAGGCGGAGGGGCAAGGGGAGAGGGACAAGCAGACTCCCTGCTGAGTGGGGAGCCTGATGCAAGGCTTGATCCCAGGACCCCAAGATCATGACCTGAATCGAAGTCAGACACTTAACTGACTAAGCCACCCAGGCGCCCCTCATTTTCTAACTTTTTTAAAAAAAAAATCAGAATTTATTTTGGTGAACAGTGAGGCTCTAATTTTTTTTATTTTTTATTTTTTAAGTAGGCTCTACGCCTAAAATGGGGCTCAAACTCATGACTGTGAGATCAAGAGTCACATGCTCTCCTGACTGAGCCAGCCAGGTGCCCCTTTTTATTTTTTATTTATTTATTCTTAAATTTTATTTTTATTAGACTTGGTGGGGGGCAGATAAGCCATTTCCTTTTACAGGGTAAAATTTGATGATTCTTTGCCTTTTTCTAGAACTATCATCGTCTCTTAAATTGTTCTCATTTCATTGAGCTTTTTTGTATATTTTCACAAGAATATAAAACTCATTATCAACAGATAATCACTGTTGAGAAGATTCTGAGAAGATGGCGGGGTAAGAAGTACCAGGAATCTCTCTCTCTTAATCTAGACTATAATTGCATTGGCGGAACCTGTCTGATATAACTATTTTGGAATTTGGGAGTCTACTGAAGGCTTGCAACTTCCAGAAGATCTGGATGGTAAACTGTGGTCAATTTCAGCTCTTAGCACAGTAACAACTACCCATCCCTGGACCCTCAGCTAAGTGGCAGGCTGCAGTGCACCTGTTCCTAGAGCAGCTTGCATGCTGGGGAAATGAGGTAGGCAAAAAAGACCCTGTCCTTCAAATATTGGGGATCTGTGCTCTGAAAGCTGCTTTTGATCACAGAGGTCCAAACAAAGAGGCGGGTGGCCACTGTTGTGGCACTTTATTTAATAAAAATATAAAATAAATAAAAATAAAAGGCACCAGGGACATAAAAAGAATAAACAAATATGGTCTCTACCTTCATGGAGTTTACTCATGGCCTGGCAATAAACACAGAAATTATTCTAAAGACTATTGGTGTGTTGAGTGCTATCAAAAGAGTACAGATTATATGCTTTACATTTCTAATTTTATTAGTTTTTAAAGATTTTATTTTTAAGTAATCTCTATACCCAATGTTGGGCTCAAACTCACAACCTCGAGATCAAGAGCGGCATGTTCTACTGACTGAGCCAGCCAGGAGCCCTTGCTTTACATTATTATTTTTAAGATTTTTTTTTTTTAATTGAGTAAACTCTACCCTCAACATGGGACTCAAACTTACGACCCTGAGAGCAAGAGTCACATGTTCTACTGACTGAGCCAAGCGGGTGCCCTTGCTTTACATTTTCTAAAAACAAAAACAAACAAAAACAAAAATGTGCATTTAAGAAAGCACATTTCTCATTAACATTACTTCTATATATTGGCTTTTTTTCAAGTTTTTTTTATTTAAGTAATCTCTACACCCAACATGGGACTCAAACTCACAACCCCGAGATCAGAAGTTACACACTCCTCCAACTGAGCCAGCCAGGTGCCCCTATGTATTTATTTTTAATCTACTGTAAGTGGGATCTTTTTCCATTATATTCTCTAATTTTTCCTCCTGTCCTAATGTGAGCTTGTGATATTGTGATATAACGAGTATTTTTTTGGCCTTCATCTATGGTTCCTGGCAAAGAGCTCTTAAAACCCTCACAATTTCCTAAGTGGTAGGAGGAAGCCCATTGTGACCACACCTGAGTGTCAGTGAGGTGACTTTTGGAAAGCCCCTAAGGATGGGGATGATTGTCAGGGAAACCAACCATGTAAGTAGAGTTGGAACTTTCAGCACCCAGCCCCCACCTCTAAGGAGAGAAGAGGGATTAGAGATTGAACCAATCACCAATGACCAATGATTATTAAATCATGCCTAACTAAGGAGGCCTCCATAAAACCCAAAAGGATGGGGTTTGGGAGCTTCTGTTGGTGAAGACATGGAAGTGCTGGGAGGACAGTGCACCCCGAGAGAGTACAGAAACTCTGCACCCCTTCCCACATACCTTGCCCAGTACACCTCTTCCACCTGGCTGCTCTCTGAGTTCTGTGAGCCACTCTAGCTCATTAATCTAATCGAACCTGAGGAGGGGGTTGGGGGAACTCCAATTTACAGCCAGTTAGTGAGAAGCTCAAGTAACTACCTAGGACTTTTGACTGGCATCGGAACTGGGGTTTGACAGAGGGGTACGGAGGCAGCCTTGTGGGACTCAGTCTTTACCTAAGGAATCTGATTCTAACTTCAGATAGATAGCATCAGAACTAAACTGAATCATAGGACAACCAGCCAGTGTCCATGGAGAATTAGAGAATTGCTTAGTGTAGGATAAACCCCATACTTCTGGTGACAGATAAGCCAAAAGTATGAAAGAAGTTGTATGCAGAGAAAAACAGAGAAGAGGGTTTTCCTTCAGAGTCCTACCATCATTTTAGCGCTGAAAACCCTGCAAGATGAACCTGGTTCCTAAACCCCCAAATCACTAGTCTTAGTAAGACCAACAAATCAAACTGAACCCAAAAGGCAGAATTCTGGATCTATAAAGAGGTATTCAACTGAGAGCTACAACCTATAAAAAAGCATTTTACCTTCATTATAGGGCACGGGATTGCCAATCTTTAATCCAACTGCTTCAGCGGATTTCAAAATCTCTAACTCCATCAAAATAACCACTCTCCTATGAAGGCAAAGAAATAGAAACAAGTTAGAAGAAATAAATTCAGAAGCCCTTCAAATGACAAGCTACTTGAAAAAAGCTTTCCCCCAATAATCACTTTGATAAAACTATTTCTGTTTGTCAACAGGTTTTCATTACTGAATAACTTGAAAAAGATATGATACCAATTCCTATGTAAATATTTCCCTTAATCTTTCACTGCATCATTATCAAGGCTTTTTATGATTTCAGCGTTTTCATTTTCCATCTAGTCCTTTAATTAAAATGCAGTGTCCTTACCACAAACCATATCTTCAAGGAGCAAATGACATGATCAGAATTTAGATTACTGAACACAATAATATGTGGCACAACAAAAGATGATCTGTTTTCAGAAACATATATTTACCTAAACAATTACCTTTTCCCAGTGAAAAACATTACACCTGTAGCGATTTTTTAATATAATTATTATCTAACAATTTACAGTTCTTTCATCTACCTTTAACTCTGATTAAAACCTTTCAATAACTTCCCAAGGCCAAAAATAAGACCTTTCACACACAGCCTACAAGGCTCTGCGTGATCTGGCCTTGCCAATCTCTCTCCAGCTCATCTCATACCACTTCTCTGAGATGCTCTGCTCTCCGGCCATTCTGTCTGCTTTCAGTTCCTGGTATGTGCCATGCTCTCTCCTGCCACAAAGCCTTTGTACATGCTGCTCACTGACTGGTATGGCCTTCTCTTATTCTGCCCTCAGCTAGTACTCATTTTATTCTCATTTCAAACATCACTTCTTCAAGAGACACTTCCTTCATCTTTAGTTTAGACTGGGTTTCTGTTATACTTTTCTCTATAGCCATGACTTCTTTCCTTCACATCACTTCTCTCAGGTTTAATTAATATACATTAATACAGAATTATGAACATAGATTTTAATTGTGTTCATTTAACTATTCATTTATATATATTTTATATACTCATCATTTCATTATTATTGATCTCTCCTACCAGACAGCACTTTCAACAAGAGTAGGTGGCCTCCAGGTATCCACAGCTATTGTTCAATACATTCTTGAATCAGAGAATGTCATGATCACATGTGTATTTGAAAAAGAACTGAAACTTAAAGAAGGAATTTGAGGGGAACACACTGGAGGCAGGGAGACCAAAAGATGGTAGCCTCTATTAGGGTCATGGCAATGGTGATAAAAAGAAGTGGATGGTTTAAAGCAATATATTTTTAGGATTTTATTTATTTCTTTGAGAGAGAGAGAGAGCATGTGAGCAAGCAGGGGGAGAGGCAGGACTCCAGGGAGAGAGAGAATCTCAAGCAGATTCTGCACCAAGCACAGAGCCTGATATGGGGCCCGATCCCATAACCCCAAGATCATGATCCAAGCCAAAATCAAGAGTCAGACACTCAACCAACTGAGCCAACCAGGCACCCCTGGAGCAATATTTAAGCAATAACAAACCCAACTTCATCATGTTGTATTCTTCAAATGGTCTGATTGCTATATTTTGAGTTTTTATATATAACTGATGAGTTTGTGCTACCTTTATCAGGCTTTCATATCAAAGTTATATTACTTTAATAAAATAAGCTTGAAACTATCTATTCCTGACAGATATAGATTCCCTATAAAAACTACCTGATAGAAATTTAGTGGGAGATATTTAACTACCTTCCAAAATTATCCAAATTATTCCAGGCTTATCAATCATTTAGCATTGGCTAAATACCAAAATCTAAGAGAAAATAGGCTCAAAAAATTATCTTTTAATATATATATCCTACATAAAACATTAACAAGATGAATCCAGCAGCACATCAAAGGAACATGCCAATATCTACTTACAGAAAACACAGATGACAAGGACACATTACAACTTTACAGAGATACAATCAGCAAAATCCAGACTATGGGAAACTGCATGAGGCTAAAGGGCAAATGACCTGGTTTCTTTTTTTAATTTTTATTTTTTTTAAAGATTTTATTTTATTTATTTGACAGAGAGAGAGAAGCAGACTCCCCGTGGAGCAGGGAGCCCAATGTGGGGTTTGAGCCCAGGACTCTGGGATCATGTCCTGAGGCAAAGGCAGACGCTTAACCAACTGAGCCACCCAGGTGCCCTGACATGGCTTCTTTAACAAATAAACAGTAAAGTGTTAACTAACTGGAATTTAAGCAAAAACTTGAAAGTACAAAAACAAACAGTAAGGGAGAAAAAAGATTTAGTGGAGGAACCTACAGATACAAATAGACTTTTTTTTTTATTTATTTGAGAGACAGATTGAGAGAATGAGTGGAGGGAGGGGCAGAGAGAAAAGCAGACTCCCCAAAGAGCAGGGAGTCCGACTCAGGACTCGATCCCAGGACTCTGGGATCATGACCCAAGTCAAAGGCAGACGCCCAACTGACTGAGCCACCCAGGCGCCCCCAGATACAAAGAGACTTAAAAGAAGTATCAACCTACTACAGTGTAAACTTTATTTTCAGTGTGAACTTTATCTTGGATCCTGATTCAGATAAAATTCTCTCTCTCTCTCTCACACACACACACAAATAGCTGGAAACAGAACGCTGACAGGATATTTAATATTTCAGGTGTAAAATAGTATTTAAAAAAATAGTTATCTTTTGGGTGCCTGGCTGGTTCAGTCAATAAAGCATATGACTCTTAATCTCAGGGCTGTGACTTCAAGCATGGAGACTACTTTAGAAAAATGATTAAATAAAATAAAATAAATAAAAATGTTATCTTCTAAAGCTATATACTAAGATATTTATGGATGAAATAATATGATGCCTGAGATTTGCTTCAAAATTATAGAAGAGGGTAGATGTGGAAGGGATATAGTATAAATAAGATCCGTATCAGGTGATAATTTGAAGCTGGATATTGGGATATATGGGGAGCCATATACCATTTTTTTTAAACATTTTTTTTTTTTTAAGATTTTATTTATTTATTTGAGAGAGAGACACAGCGAGAGAGAGAACACAAGCAGGGGGAGTGGGAGAGGGAGAAGCAGGCTTCCCGCCGAGCAGGGAGCCCGATGCGGGGCTCGATCCCAGGACCCTGGGATCATGACCTGAGCCGAAGGCAGATGCTTAATGACTGAGCCACCCAGGCGCCCCAAAATTTTTTATTTAAATTCAATTTAGTTAACATATACCGTATTACTAGTTTCAGGGGTAGAATTTAGTGACTCATCAGTTGCATATAACACCCAGTGCTCATTACATCCAGTCCCTCTTTAATGCCCATCACCCATTTATCTCATCCCCCCACCCAACTCCCCTCCAGCAACCCTCAGTTCCCATACCATATTCTTTTTTTTTTTTTAAGATTTTATTTATTCATTTAACAGAGAGAGAGCTCGCACAAGCAAGAGGAGTGGCAGGCAGAGGGAGAGGGAGAAGCAGGCTCCCCGCCAAGCAGGGAGCCCGATGCAGGACTCGATCCCAGGACCCTGGGATCATGACCTGAGACGAAGGTAGTCACTTAACCCACTGAGCCACCCAGGCGCCCCTCCATACCATATTCTTGAATGCAAAGACTTAGTATCAAATATTATATAAATTTAATGCAATTCCTTGCATTCCAGTGAGACTTTTATTTTCTTCAACTTGACTATATAACTCTGGAATTCATATGGAAGAATAAAGAGAAGAGCTGCCAAGAAAAGTTTGGGGGAAAATGGTAAAAGAAGACCTCACCTGTAAATTACTAAACTACTCTACAGATGATACTTTAACTGAAAATACTACGGCAGATTTAATTACCTATGTTGGTGAGAACATGAAGAAACTGGAACCCTCATACATTGCTAGTGGGAATATAAATTGGTAGCCACTTTGGAAAATAGTCTGGTACTTCTTCAGAAATTTAACCTTAGGGGTGCCTGGGTGGCTCAGTCATTAAGTGTCTGCCTTTGGCTCAGGTCATGATCCCAGGGTCCTGGGATGGAGCCCCACATCGGGCTCCCTGCTCGGTGGGAAGCCTGCTTCTCCCTCTCCCACTCCCCCTGCTTGTGTTCCCTCTCTCGCTGTGTCTCTCTGTCAAATAAATAAATGTAAAAAAAACTTAAAAAAAAAAAAAGATTTAATCTTAAAGTTACCATATGACCCACAATTCCACTCCTAAATATATATATATATAAAATGGAAGATGTCCACACAAAATCTTATACCCAAATGTCCACAGCGTTATTCTTAATAGCAGAAAGATAGAAACCCACATGTCCAAACAAATGGATAAACAAAATGTGACATATTCATACAACAGAATATTATTTGGCCATACAAAGGAATGAAGTACTGGTACATGCCACAACATGGATAAACCTTGAAAACATTATGCTATGTTAAAGGGGCCAGTCACAAGGGACCACACATTTTATGATTTCGTTTATATGAAATGTCTAGAATAAGCAATCTAGAGAGACAGAAAATAGATTAGTAGTTGTATAGGGCTAGAAAGAATGAGGAGTTTAGGGGTGATAGCTGAAGGGTACAGGGTTTATTTTGGGGATGAAGAAATGTTCTAAAATTAATTGTGGTAATGACTGAACAACTCTGTCAATATATTAAAAACCATTTTACACTTCAAATGGATGAATTGTAGCTGACTGTGAATTATATCTCAATAAAGCTGTTACTAAAAACAAAACAAAACAAAACTATGGCACTGACCATTATCAACAATAGCCAAACTATGGAAAGAGCCCAAATGTCCATCAACTGATGAATGGATAAAGATGTGGTATATACACACAATGAAATATTACTCAGCCATCAAAAAGAATGAAATCTTGCCATTTGCAAAGATGCAGATGGAGCTAGAGTGTATTATGCTAAACAAAGTAAGTCAGTCAGAAAAAGAAAACACCATATGACTTCACTCATATGTGGAATTTAAGAAACAAAACAGATGAACATATAGAAAAGAAAAAAGAAAAAAAGAGAGGGAAGCAAACCATAAGAGACTCTTAAGTAGAGAGAACAAACTGA